GGTTGTCTGGAGTAAGTTGCTGAGGAGATTACTGAGGTTAAGTACTGGTAAGTTACTGAGTAAGTTACTGAGGAAGTTACTGTCAAGGGTGGGTTCTCATTTACTGAAGTAAAGTACCGGTTGTCTGGTAAGTACTGGTGGTCTGTTATCCAGGGTAAAGTAGCTGTCTCTTATACACATCTTTTTTTTTCTTTTTTTTTGGTTCAAAGGTGTCGTGGTCAGAGTGGGTGTACTGGTGGTCTAATGAAGGCTGGGGTATGTCAAACTTGTTTTTTTATTTTTTAGGCGTCTTGGTCAGAGTGGGTTTATCGAACAGACTGCTGCCCGCTCATAACCAGCTGCGCTTCCGTCTGCCCCCGAATAAAACACATTGGTCAATATGGCCATTCATAGAGTCAATGTTTGCCCCAAATACACTATCTGCTGAAACTGACTCATTTCGGCCAAAATTCGGCCAAATTTGGCTGACTTCTTTGGCCAAATTATGTTTAATCACCGTAGTATGTTCAATTCGTGGGAAGATGGTAGCAGGAGGAGGGTGAAGGTGTGGCTTCAGCCAACAGTAAACAAATATATGCGGGCTCTTCAACTTGGAAATTCGGAAAAAACAAACGCTCCGAACTCCGCGGAGCCATCTGCTTTTGAAAAAAAAAAAAAAAAAAAAAACGTATGTGGTGCCTCCACGAAGTGTTGCCATCTGCGTTCGGGGAAAAAACAGAAAAAAAAACGAAAAAAAAAGCTTTTGAAAAAAAAAAACAAAAAAAAAACGTATGTGTCGCCTCCACGAAGTGTTGCTATCTGCGTTAGGGGAAAAAACAGAAAAAAAAAAAAAAAAAGAATGCTGCCCCCACTGCGTTATTTGATCGATGCACCATCAAGAAATTAAAAAAATAAACAACACAAAGAAGGGGGAAAAAAATGGAATGTGCCTTAGTAGTGGTGGTGGGCAGGTAGTGTGAGGTGAAATTGAGAGAAGAATATAGCTTTTTTGAATTTGAATTAAAAAAAAAAAGAAAAAGAAAAAAAARAAAGAAAAAAAAAAAGTGCTCTAACGGCCTTCCTTATGGCAAGACAGATTGACAGAGGAACAAAAAAAAAACAAAAAAAAACAATACAATTAGCTGAGCAGATGTGACCAGTCGTTCATTTTCGCCCACTAGCTGCTGAAACTGACTCATTTCAGCAAATTTGACCAAATTTGGCTGACTTTGGCCCCCCGTTGTGATCTGCTTTGCCCCATTTTCACCCCGTTTTTGGTCCATTCTGGCCCCCGTTTCTGTCCCCTTTCGACCCCTTTCTCGCCCATTTGCCCCATTTCGACCCTGTTTTGCCCCATTTCGACCCTGTTTTGGCCCATTTTGACCCTGTTTCGGCCAATTTCCACCCCGCTTTGGCCCCTTTTCGACCCCATTTTGACCACATTCTGGCCCCACTTCCGCCCGTTTCAGCCCCATTTTGACCCCATTTTCGTTCATTTCGGCCCGCCCTGTCCCCCATTTTGGTCCATTTTGACCCCGCTTTGGTCCATTCGCTTCTGAGGAACACTCCTTCTTGGCCTTTGATCCAAGAAATGTGGGCCCCCTATTTTAGCCCACCATTGGCCTTAGGGCCAAGAAACGCAGTCTCAGCCAGATCAATAGCCCTCGCCAATGCCGCAGCCTTGTTCACCGTTTCCTGGTACTCTGCCTCGGGGTCACTGTCCGCGACAAGACCTGCCCCGGCTTGGAGGTGCACCAACCACTCGCGCCGATGAGACGGATCTTTATAGTTCAGCATTGCATCGTAACGACCAAAGGTTGGGAAGACCATCGTCCGAAGAGCCAGAGCAATGTCCATGTTCCCTTTGTATGATACTGCGCCGATTCCACCGGCATACGGCCCTCTTCGCGATGGCTCTAGCTCATCGATCAGCTCCATCGCCCTCACCTTCACACAGCAAAACGACAAATATTCAAAAGAAAAAAAAGAAAAAGGGCATAACATATTGCCTGATGAACTTTAAACCACTCGTACCTTTGCCGCTTCAGAAATGAGGGAAAACGCCAGCTCCCGAGGAATTCAGAGGCCCGGCCGGATGACAGCTGCCATTGATAAATCTAATCGGCGGCCACCGTTTCGTTTCGTTTCGTACTCCGAAAAAGGGCGGAGGCCCGCTATTTTCCGAACCGACAAAGGTACTAGTGGTTTAAAGAAGAGGAAGAAGAAGAAGAATCTAAATCTGCAAATCATTATACATAATAAACTGGTGCCAAAAAAAAAAACAAAAAAAAAAAAGAAACAAACAAACAAACAAACAAAAAACGGACGACCACTTTTGCCAGTTTCCAGGAATGATGATAAAGTTTTGGCCAGTTGCTACACAGAGAAAAAAAAAGAAAAAAAGGGGTGGGGCCATGGGAACGAGGGAGGGTGGGGCTGAGAAGGAAAACAAAACAAAAAAAAAAAAAAAAGCGGCCAAGTTTATTTCAGTGTTCCCTCGAATAGAACACACTGTCATTATAACTGTATTCGGCACAACTTTGAGTCCAGATAGGGTGATAATGACCATACTCTGGCACGGAATTCCTTCGCCTCTTTTAAGAGTCTTTCTGTATGTTTTGCATTCCTTCTTTTTCTTGGTTGGGGGGGGGGGGGGGGGG